CTCGCATATTTAAGACACTGGATGAAGTCCAAGCCCAAGAACAACCTGGGTTTTGCAAAGGATTCAGTTGCATGGACCGCATAAGGACGGTTTCAAGGGTCATAGAAGTCTACCGGGAAAATTGCCGTTAGGATATACTTGACGTAGCCTCTGAAAAAACTTCACGGCGAGTCGCATGCCCTACTGGAGGACTGCGTAAACTTGGTTTGTGAAAATTGAAAGCGGAGTCAAATCGAAACGTGCTGTCCAGCATGGTAACGAAGAACACTGACTAATTAAAAGCCTGTGTATGGGATAAAGATAACTTAAGATGGTAGTTTAATGACAATCTAATTCTCACATACGTTTGTCCTAAGGTGAATCTGCAAGCATCGATGTGACAACTATCAAGAGTGAACCTTATGTTGTGGGGAAGAAATGCGATCTGGTGAAAGCAGCGCTTAGATTGCACATGTACGCATGTTTCACAATATTTCAGGTGCAGTCGCAAGGATGTTAAATTGCATCAACTTTATTATTGATCGCTTGTTTGCGCTTTATCTCCCAAGAAAATACCAAAAAAGTCGGATTCCCTTTGCAGCTTACATAATTTTTGTGCAGGTATAAGGCAGTTGCTCCATATTGTCAATCAGCAGCTTACGATTTTCGCTCTATGATAATTTTCTAGTTTTCAACAGCTGCCATATCGTCGGTCTTCGTAGTGCAGTTGCTGAATGATGTAGCTGAGACGCTCATCATAAACGGTTTACCGTTGGCATTTACTTTAGTTAGTCTTCCTCTGCCAATCGGTAATTTGAATTCGGACAAAGTGGTTACAGGTTTTTGCTGGACTTTTGACCGTCGCAAAACGTATTGATCGCCATCATCGCAGGTTTCCTTCATCTGTTCAGGTTGGTTACTAGTAATCATATATCGTTCGGAGAGACCTGTACTGTAAGGAATACAAAAGAGTGTTTTCTAACCAATCATTTCCACCATTAACTCTTCGTTGCGTTTTTATTACTGACATTGCAAGAAAAGGTTAGGTTGGGGCCTGGATCTACTAGTTTGTTAAGAAAGTTTCCGAACACTTTTGGAAATTTTATTTTCAGACGCACTTTTTGGCGCTCGGTCGGACTTTGACAAC